TTGCTCAGAAGTAGCTATGGAGTTCTGAATGGTTGGTTTCTCATTGGTTGTTAATGTGTTCTGGATAGTTGCTATGGCATTCTGGGATGTCAGGTTGTTAATAAATCAGGTAATGTACAGCGCCTGTGGGAAAGCTTATGTAACCACATGAGAGTTCCTCTCAGAGTCCCGTGTGGGATCCAGGAGTCATTTGTGTGCCGGAGCAGCCTGCGTAAAGTAGAACAATAAACATATTTGGGGAAAAGGGTTTCCCATTTCATGAATATATTCAATCCAGCGGCCCGGAGTCAACCCTGTCTGAGGTAATTCAGTTATGGTTAGCTGAACCTTAGCGAGAGAGTTAAGAAAATAAACCTGGGGGTACGGTGGTTAGTGTGCTGTTGAAAACCAGAGCACATGCCAGCACACTTCCATCCAGAGACTATTAAAATCTATTAAAAGCAAGATTTTCATAATCAATGCACATGCATTTTGAGCAGAGTCGTCAAGGAAAGCAGCTCAGTCAATGAAAATGATTACTTTCATCGAGCGTTAATGTACTTTTATTGAAGCCACTAATTCATATTGTCGCCCCACGGATTTGTACACTCTCTGTTATTGCTTTATTTATACACAACTCAATTTTCGCCCCTAGCAATGCTACTTACTCTGAGAATTCTAAGCATTTTTCACAAGACAGTGATGACATGTAACAGCCATCAGCATCTTAAATCTTTAATCCTTTTTAATATTTAGATTTTTTTCAAAAATGTATGTTCATTTATAAAGCTGTACCTTGTATTAAATCACATTTGATCAAATAAGAAAAAGCGAGTCACAGCTTATGCAATGTAACGTGAAGTGACGCTGACAACAGGGAGTGCGGATCCAAACGCAGGATTATTATGCAGAGATGGTCAGGCAGGCAACGATCAACACAGGGGCAGACAGATGTGCACAGGGAATCAAGAGTCGTGGTCGAATAACAGGCGATAGGTCAATACAGGCTGGGAGCAGGCAACGTAAACAAACAAAACAAAGATCGTTAAACAGCAGGACAAGGCACGGAAAAAGCACCCTTAAGTTCAATAGACAGATAAACAAGACTCAGCAATGTGTGTGTGTGCATAGTATTCAATAATCAGTTCATAACGATCCTCTGGCTGTGTGTGTGCTCATCATCTTAACTTGAAACAGGTGTGTGTGAGTGGAGTGCATGTATGGAGTTGTAGTCCATAATGTGGCGAACTGCGTGTTTCCCAGCGATCTGCAGCCGCTAGATCACTGGTCATCATAACATGCAAGGTGTTTATTTATTGTATTTTATTAATGTACCCCCAACCCCAACCCTAAACGCAACTGTCACAGTAACGTAAAAACAGTAGTTGTACAGATTAATTTACCCAATAAATTACATTTTTTAACGCCTACCCCAACCCTAAACCCAACCATCGCAGCACTGTAAAAATATTAATGATTGTTATTGACCTTATTCTAAAATGTGGAAGTGCGCCCGTTTTCGCGATTGTCTTAGAACTTCCGTTTCAGTCGCCTATGGGAGAAATGACAAGGAATAATAAACGGCAAAAAACGGTCAAACTACTTGCTCTACAAACAAATGTTTGCATGACTATACAGACCAAGTAGAATAATATAACAAGAAAATATCAGTTTGCAACATCAAACAGCGAAACGAGCAGTTTTTAATGTCTAAAAATGAATGGAAGTGAATGAGACCGGAAGTCTTGTGCCAAAAAGATTCAAATGGCAGCGCCCGCTCGTCTGCGGAGAATAAGGTCAATACAGTGTCATAACAAATGCTGCTATAATACTGTGCATATTGCACTTCCAGCCGGCCGCATATCCGATCTAGACTTTACCACACTGCACCTTTAAGGATGCTCTTTGTTATTTTGAAAACTAAAACAAGTTGTTAGAAGCTACTGTGAACTTTCTTATACTTGCTGGCAATATTTACTTACACAAACAGATGTTTCTTTAAAAGATCTAACTCTTGTAGACTTATTATGTGAAATAAAACATTTAATAAATCACTTAGATTAATTGACGATGAGAAATGGACTTCTTTCTTGGGAAAATATAATGAGATCTTACATGCTACTTGAATGTTTATCTATTTTTATGGTAGTGGTTATTGCATTATGAATAATATTATTATTTTCATATATAATTTTTGGGGGTTTTGCTCTTTATTCTGTTTATATAATGTGGGTATAGTGTAAAAGAACTCTTCTCTTTTACTGTATTATTTGTAGTATTATACAGATTCTTTGAATTAATAAAATAAAACAAAGGCCATGTGGACGCAAATAACCCTGGCTAAGCCATGATTTTACACACATCAACGCATAGGTGGCAGTATACACCGCTGTAACTCAGCATTTAACCAGCAGAAGAAGAAACCGCATGTTAATTATGAGTACACAAACAAAGCCGCATTTACCTACAAATATTACTCCGAAAGACTCTAAAAAAATGGAGGTGAGTGTAATTAGTTAAATAAAGACTTGTTGCAGGCACAGCACATAACACAAGCATAGTGTCACGCCTCTTTCTCAGCGCACGTAGCAGAGCCGAAAGGTGTGTGTGCTCGTGTGTGTTGCGCATGAGCAGAAAC